CTGTCCGTCCGTCGAACAGTTGCTGCTCGTTGAATGAGACGTCTCTTGTTGTAAAGACTTCCTTATGCAAGGGGTTCCAGACTCTGAATGAGTTGCTTGACGTATAGCCCACTAGGAAGCCGATCCACGCCCTCGGAGCCTGCCTTTGAAGCCGGTTTCTTCGCAATTGTGCATCTGCAGTCAATGCAAAGACCTTGCAGCCGTATGCTCGAAGGTGTGAGAGGTCGGGCTTCGCTGAGTGGTCGCCGCGGAATTGGCGATGGAACAACTCGTACGGAGTCTTTCTGTTTCTGTGAATTGAGGGTGTACGATTATAAAGGTAGGTAGCAGCTTTGATCGATTCCGGCCACAGATATTCAGGCAACTTAGCTCCTGCACGCATTGCGCGGCTTTTCAGTATGATGACTGCAGCGATGCGTTCTGCCCCCCCGTTTTGTGCTTGAGTATTCGGGGCCGAAGGCTCGGCGCGTATTCCCCGAGCGGTCAGCAGCTCAGCGACTTGCGGATGTATTTCTGTTATCTCATTATCGCACTCAAACACTTTGACCTTAATGGAGTATTGCACCTCCAACATCTTGAGGAAGTGAGTGATCGCTGTGCGGATAGCGAGCGTTGAGCGATTGTCGGCATAGTAGTCCCATGAGTACCCTGTTGCTCGGTCCGTGAAGATCCATACAGACGTATAGCCTGCATAGCCTGGGGTCATCGGATGGAAATCTAGGGCTATTCGTTCTCCTGGTTTTGCTTGCGCTGTTGCTTCTCGGGGTGCTCTGCGGATCGCTCGGCAAGCCTTCGCTACACCACATGCATCGCAGTCCACAGTCGTTATTCGTTCACGGCCTTCAGGCTCGTGCATCTTCAGCCTGACGCCCCTTGAGGCCGTTATAAGGCAACGCAGGGAGTCTGGGCCTGGATGGCCGAGTCGTCGGTGCCAAGTCATTGTGTCCCCTAGCATTGGCTTTCTCGGAGTCCATGTTGTAAAGCGAGACTTCTTCTGTGGCTTGTCTGCTGTCATTGCCGCCGTGTGCTCCACGACCCTTCTCCGAGCGTTTGGCGAGTCTAACGCTCCATCTTTCCATTCTAAGACTTGTTGCCCTTGCTTCTCGTCGATAGTGCCTAAGAAGGACCCATCTGATCTCCGCAGACAGTTGTTACCTGGTCTAGTATCCCACCAAAGGCCTCGCTGTCTCAGCTTCGAGAATGAGACGAGGTTCGTGGTAAGGGATTTACACAGGGCAACGTCATAGAGAGTGAGCCTTATCGGCGAGCCATCGGCATCTGCTAGGGTAATAGTCGCTTCACCGTAACCGTCGATTGGCACTTGGGTAGTTCCTGACCAAAAGAAATCTCCTGGTTGGGCTGCTCGCAGGTTTTTCATTCGGCTTGTATCTCGGAAGATATGCAGGGTTGCTCCTGAGTCTAGGAGAACACAGTTTTGTAATGCGTAGTAGATGCCGGCTACTAGTTCAGCGTTCGTCATGCAATCCCTGATGATTAGGGCTGCGTTCGCTGTACAGGTGCCGACAGGTCGTAGTCAGGCTGATTTCTCTAGCTTGATCTTTCTGATCCGTCCGACTAGGTCGTCTTCGTTCTCTTCTAGCCGCTTGTTGAACCTTTCGGTTACATGGGACCGCGGTTCGAACCAGTCAGGTCTGTTCTCTGGAAAGGCGTAGAAGCAACGTGATAGTGGATGGAGTTGACAGCATGCTGGGCACTTGGCTTCTTTATCCGATCCAATGCTCTGACGCCGTCTCTTCTTGGTGTTTGTTCGTCGAGCATTCGTCGAGCTATCGGCCTCTTCTTGTGTGCCTCCTCCGCCGTGGAAGGCTCCCTGACTCACTCTTCCTCGCCGTGGGGTCTCCGGCCGTTTAGCGATCTCTCGGCGAATGTCTGCCATGACTGGGCCGACTGTTAAAGTACCTGCTCGGACTTGAGCTATCTGCATGACGCTGTATGCATCTGTCCAAGCCTGTAGGTGCGTTGACTGAAGAGCTGTTGTGAGGTCTCCAAGCCACTGATCGGGTTCTATTGCCTCTTGGAGGCCAACATCCTGAGCCTCGTTGATAGCATTCCGCCATCGCTTAAGCCAATCGGCTGCAGCAGTGTTGGTCTTGATCTTTCCTTGGAGTGGTTCTCCCAAGATCTCGCGGTATGCTCGGCGAGCCCTCTGCTTCCGCTGTTCGGTTGCTAGAGCAAACTCGTCATAGATTGACTGAATCCACTCAGGCAAACTGGTCTCTGGCTTGCAGTGATGCCGAGAGAGGGGTTCATCAAGCGTCTCAAGGACCCAGTTCCTTACGTTCTTTGTTCTGGTTTGGAATTCCTTGTGGCGCTTATTGCGGTGTTCGTAGTTGGCCCATAAGGCGTTGTACACTCGGAGACCCTTCTCGGGCAGCTCGCTGACATCTTGAGCCTTTAGCGTCATGTCGTCTTCATCACCAAGAGTGGGGTCTTCATCATCGGTCACGGCCGTAATGGTCTCGGTGTGATCGCTAGAGACTTGTGATTGCTCGGCGAGCCTTGAGCGAGTGATTAACGCTGGCTTCTTCTTGAATTGAGTGATATCCGGTGGAATTGGGGCCTTTGAGATCAGCTCCGGTTTGTTCTTCTTCTCAGGGTCAAGATAGTCCCAGAGGTCTTCGTTCATAGCTGTAGTCTTCAGGGTCTTGAACCACGTGATCCAATCCTCGTCTGTGACTAGCTCGATGCTTGTGGCGGTCGCCATGCTTTCGGCGACTGCTCGTCGGGCGCTCGTGGACAGCCTGCTGCCTAAAGCGGTAATTGCTGGTAGATATGATTGCGTATGAGACTCTTAATTGTTGGATTTAGGCAGCATGCATAGCATCTTAGTCATTGAGAGCCCACATGTATGTGTATTGTGCATATTGTCATCTAGGCTGACCCCGCAGCAGTCAGGGGTATTATATGCGCAGTTGACCGCCTTCCTATTCGGGCTGTGCTCGGCATGGTCACTCAAGTGACCGAGGTCACCTGATCATGTGCATGACTGTGCGCACGATCTATTCTAACAGGTAACAACACCTCAAGCTATTCCTCGCCATTAACACCTCAACCTTCTAGTCTTCCAACCTTCCTATTTTCTCTGGGTAGAGGGGGGGTTACCTATTTATAAGCGCAGGAATGCGCTGTAGTTAGCCTCTTATAGTGGGTTGGCCAGTCCACTTCCTAAAGGCAAGCTAGGGACCAATTAGCTTGCTACCTTAGGCCCGGTTAGCGAGTCGGATCCTCGGGTTCAATCCCTGTACAGGCTGACTTTTCTGCTAGGGGACGAGGCTAGCAGTCACAGCACAATTACAAGGATTGTGCCCTGGGCTGGATTCGAACCAACAACCTCTTGAAAAAAGGTCCCAAGCTCTTAACCACTGAGCCCCAGGGTAAATTATATATATTATTAAAATTAATTTCTTTTTTATATTTTAAGCTATATTTTAAAATATAATATTAAAAAAAAATATCTAAAGAGGTTTTTAAAATATAGAACTTATTCTCTATAATTTAAAAAGTATACTTTCTTACTTAAATATAAAATTATAAACTTTATTACCTATAAAAGTAGATTCTAAACTACTTAACCTCTAGATTCTAAAAACTTTAAATAACCTAATTAAAGCTACTTTATAAACTAATTTTATTAAAACTCAAATTAGTTATTATTAAAAAAGTTCTTTAATATCAATTTTAGCTACTATAAATCAATTTATAAAAGAGGCGCGAGGAATAATATACTAGATGGTATTATTAAAGGCAGAGGTTAATAAGCTTTAGAAGGTAAATGCAATACTTAGCTGGCGGCGCAGGGCGAAAAAAACACATCTCCGGCTTTCAGGGAGTATGACAGTAGCTGAGGGGCAGGAGCTACAAGATCAGAGGGAAATCGCTGATCAGATACAGCAGGAAATGCAGCAAAGTAATAGCCGGAAGAGGCGGACGGAGACGAGGGAACGGCGATGTGGAAGATGCAGGCAGCCTGGGTATAATGCACGCACTTGTTAAACTGATGTAGATATGTCTAGGGAAGAGGATAGTAATTGATTTTAATTAATTGAGATGTTGTGGTTATTTTATTTTAATATTTACTGGTGAAGGTTTGGTTAGGTATCTCACTCGCTTATCTGTCTTACTCACTTATCATACATGTTAAAAGAATAAAAAAAGAAAAGAAAAAAAGAAAAGAAAAGTAGTTTATAGTAAAAATTAAAAGAAGTTATTAGTATATAAAGTAGGTAAAAGAAAAGTAGTAAGAGAGGAAAAAAGTAAAGGTAAAGAGGAGTAAGTATAAAGATAAGGAAGAGTAGTATATAAAGAAGTTAAAAGAGAGTAGTAAAAAAAGAAGAAAGGAAAAGAAAAATATTAGTAAAAATAAAGGGAATTGATAGAGACACATGACACTTTTGATACAGATGCATAACTCTTACAGACGCATGACTTTTACAACACCCTATTGGCCAATCCCAGCTCTGACCCAGAAATACTTTTTGACAAAGGCGGTGTGACTAGCTCTCTTAACACAACTGTATTTTTGCTTGAAGTCTCTCTAGTGCTCTATAGCGCAGCGTATTAGGGCGTCTTAAAAGGTCTTGTTATTAATTAGAAGATTCTCGCTATCTAGTCCAGGATGCTATTTACATCAAAGATGAAGAAGAAAGAAAGAAGTTCCTAAGTGCCCCTGAGCTGTGGAACGATTTCTCATCCCTGATGCGCACGAGCCGAGTACGTCTTGCGGCACCGCCGCAAGGATATGGGCCCTGGCCCGTGACACAAGGTACTTAGAGTGTGGGCGGCAGAATCCTGGTGTACTAACAAATAAAATTTTGACGAATCATAGCTCTAGAAAGTCATGCGTCTGTAAGAGTCATGCGTCTGTATCAAAAGTGTCATGCGTCTCTATCAATTCCCTTATAAAAACCTAATAAGGCAGACTAATTATAGGTAAGTAACCTTCATTATCTCCTTAGTAAATTCTATATAGCTTGTCAATTCTATAGTTTCCCAAAGCCAAAATGGCCATCAGGACGAATGAGGATCTCGCTGAATCTAGACTTGTACTTGCTTATATTAAGCCCCTCAGCCTCCAAGATATCAACGACATCAACCACTTCAGTCCACTCACCAAAGGCCGGCAATGCCACTGTAGACGTTCTTGCACCGTTGTCAAGGAACCGAAGCTGAACCCACTTCCCCTTTTTCATAAAGTCGCTCAGATACCTTTCCTCTCCATTCGCATTCCCGACACGAAACTCAAAGTTCACAGCTCTCTCGCCAGTCATATTTGTAGACAGCGCCTCCCATCCTTCCGGACATATCATGTGTAGGGGAGTCGGGTACGTGTATCCGAATCCGCTGATCTGCTTGGCAAGTTTCCGGTTCGCTTCTGGTATATCGAGGAGCCTGTTCATTGCCTCCCGTACTGCCATCTCTGGCCGAGTATGCGCGAAGAAGAGCAGAGACTGTGCAGTGGTATTGTCTACCACACTTTGGGCTACAGGTAGCCTCTCAGACTCGTAGGTATCCAGCAGAGAGTCTGGATGCTCCCCACGAGCCACAGCACCGAGTTTCCACCCAAGATTGTACGACTCTTGGATGCCCGTATTCATCCCTTGGCCACCGGCGGGAAGATGTCTATGGCCTGCATCACCAGCGAGGAGAACACGTCCCTTGCGATACTCCGTCACACAGCCGGATTCATTACTGAATCGGGTGAGCATAACAGGATCGCTTAGGTGCCAATCCTTACCGGTGACCTCTTTCATCGCCTGGTTAAAATCTTCCATAGTGGGAGGCTCCGACAATGGCATATGGCCTCGGGAAGGCGTCCAAACCACCAGACGGACCCGTCCACTTGGCACGTTCAGATTACAGCCAATGACGAGCCCAGCTTGGTTCTTCGTGATGATGGCAGGGGGCATGGGCTCTGCCGGTCTTGCCTCAACGGACAACATTGTCTGCGTTCCGGCGTTGTGATTGTAGCCGAAGCCTGCCATAGTCCGAACAGAGCTGCGCCACCCGTCCGCACCAACAAGATATTTTCCGGTCGCCACGAAGGGAGATTGATCGCCGGCTGTCGAAGTTGAGGTGCCGTAAATACGGACCGTCGTTGCTGTCTGTTCCAAAGCTTCCACGTGGAAGCCTAGGCGGATCACGACGCCCAGTTCCAGCGCATGGTTCTCGAAAATTTCCTCGGTTTTGTACTGTGGTGCGAAGAGCACACAGTTCTGTTTCGTCTCGTCCCCAAAGGCACTAAACTGTAGTCGAGTCTCTAAGACTCCGTAATGCCACCAGGGGAGTCTCATGCCCTTGTCCATGAATTTGTCAAGAAGACCACGATCTTCCAGAATTTCAATTGTGCGGCCGTGGAGAACGCAAGCACGTGTCTCTCCGGCTTTATCCAGACCTTGCGTTCCAGTCAGATTGCGGCGCTCAACAATCAACACGGAAAGGCCTTGAAGACGGAGTTCGCATGCCAGAAAGAGCCCAACAGGGCCGCGGCCGACAATAATAACGTCGAAATCTTTGGTGTCCATCTTGTAAATGAAACGTCAACGGGAACGTAAGAATTTTGTTTTTGTAGGAAGTTTGTTTATAAGAAGTTGTTTGTTGAAAAGTGTGGAATGAACCTGGCCTAAACTGCAGAGCGTGTGATGGTATATTTTATACATAAAGAGACTAGAGCATTGTACTGAGTGATGAACATTAAATCCGAAATGCAGCCGCCGAAACCATATCGGCTTATTGACTAGAGCATTATACCGAGCGACAAACAATAGATCCGAAGTACGGCCGTTGAAACGACATCGGCTTATTAAATAGAGCATTATACCGAGTGACAAACATTAAATCCGGAATCCGGCCGCTGAAACGACATCGGCTTATTAACTGTGGGCTGATCCAAACTGACAAGGTAGCCAGTCCCGCAGGTGTTAAGGCGTAATTAGTGAGACTACGTATTCTGCAAAATAAAAGAGGAGACTTATACATATACAAAACAATGGGACGGTCCTCTTATAACGCCTCACACAATTATAAATGCGTTGTTTCCATTCCTTATAGGGTTTATAACAGATTCACTGCCTTTGCTTGCAGTAAACCTAGCTTAGAAACAAAGAATCTCCACTATTTCAGGTCACATGTGTTGTAACCCAACCCTTGACAGTAACAATACTAGATTGGTGGGAAAGCCGGACCTATAAGCCGGACCTATAAGCCGGACCTATAAGCCGGACCTATAAACCCGAACTATAAGCCCGGTCCAAAAGCCCGGTCCAAATCCCGAGTCTCTAAAGCTCAGGATGAAAAATCTCTGGTGAAACCAGAGAGCCCACAACTTAGCGCTGCATGCGACTTTTGTAGAACATAAAAAGCGAGCAACTCGGCGTGTATATAAGAAAGGCCGACGTCTTCATCCATTGACTACTCATTATCCTATCATCCACCTCCCTTTCATCATACTTCAAGCTATCACAAGTTATCAACATGCCTCTTCCCAAGATCGCAATCATTGGAGCGGGACCTAGCGGCCTAACGCTTGCCCGAATTCTCCAGATCAACAACATCCCTTGCACCGTCTTTGAAAGAGAAGCATCTGCGCACCTCCGTGAGCAGGGCGGATCACTAGACCTTCACGCAGAGTCTGGAATCCTCGCCCTTCATGAGGCCAATCTCTACAAGGAGTATCAGTCTCACGTCCGAAACGAAAGCCAGGATTTCGTCCTGGCAGACCGTTTTGGAAAGACGTACTTTTCCCATAAGGACACCGACACGGGTAGGCCCGAGATCGATAGGAAGGCCCTAAGACAGATTTTACTAGACTCCCTACCCGCGGAGTCGATTCGATGGGGACACAAACTCGAGCGCGTCGAAGAGGGAGGAGCGCTTCATTTTACGCATGGAAGCGAGAGCGGATTCGATCTCATCGTGGGGGCTGATGGAGCGTGGTCAAAAGTCCGACCCATGGTATGCCACCTGCAGCCCTTTTATTCCGGCGTCACGGGAGTGGAAATGAGGCTGCGAAACCTCGAGACCACCGACCCAAAGCTCTCAGAGATGGTAGGAAAGGGCAGCCTGTTTGTCTTTGGTGAGGATGATGGCCTTTCGATGATGCTACAGCGCATGGGTGACAAGAGTGTCCGTCTTTACACATTCATGTCCAAGCCGGAGAGCTATGCTAAAGACAAAGGCTTGGACCCCGAAGACCCCAACCACATACGCGCCGTTCTTCTTCAAGAATACCGCCATTGGGCTCCGGAGCTTAAGAGGTTCATCGACCTTTGCGGAAACGACATTGACCTGCGAGTACTCCATATGCTCCCAGTGGGCATACGGTGGCCGCATCGTCCCGGCTTTACTTTGATCGGAGATGCGGCGCATCTCATGACTGTCTTCGCTGGAGAAGGCGTGAACATGGCTATGCTCGATGCTATGGAGCTGGGCAAGTCCATTGTCAAGCATCCCGACGACCTGGCCAAGGCTGTAGAGGAACATAAGGAGAAGATATTTCCACGAGCCAGGGAGATGCAGCAACTGACGTGGGATTTTAAGCTGGACTGGTTTGGACCTGGGGCTTTAGCCAAATTCAAGAGATGGATGGAGAGTTGGACCCAGGAAGAGAACAGCTGACTGGCCCAAACCTAGAGATGACATGTTGGGGACGCCTCTGGCATTAATGGGGCGAGGTTGGAACATCGAGGTGTATTTTCAAGTTGCAAGAACAAATCGTCTTTCTTAAGCTACGTCTATGCTCAGCAAGAGTATGCTATTTACAAGCAGCTCATGAGTGTCTGCCAGCTAGCTGTAACTCATTTCTGGCTGAGCAATGTAAGCAATATCGTAATGCTGCCTGAGCAGGGTTCTTCTCCCGTTATTGTTGGCCACAGAGAATAGCCAAGTGAGTGTCAATTTGTCCATTGACCATTACGATGGTCTTGTTTGGTCGTGTTAGGCCTGACAAATAACTCCGGTCCCGACTAGAGTAGAGATGCATTTTCAATGTCAGTGCTTTCCATCACATCCCGAAGATAGCAGCCGTGTGCGCGAAGCCTGTGAAGGGGATAACATGAGACCGAAATTCATTCGTTATTCTCGCGACAACGCTGAGAAGTTGGTCCCAGAGCCAACGGCGGCCCATGATGCGGTCTGCTACTATAATATCTTATTGTATCTACCCTATTATATCATTCTGAGCTTTCTCTTGTTCGTCTATTTATCTTTATCTTGCTTTCAGCTTCTCATTAGATCCTGCCTTAATTTTACTTTATTTTGCTTTTCTTCGCGTAATGTTGTTTGAAATTGCTATCTAGTTATATTAATTGGATTAATCAAGCCTGATCACTGGGCTCTGCGAAGCGGGATAAGTATGATGGCGGTTACAGAAAAGATTAAGGAGACCGGTTTGCATTCGGCTTAAGGTGTGGCTGTGACTGTGGCTGTGGCTACTTATCGGTATGGCTGATAAAGAAGATAGAGTCCCCATTGGTTCTGTAATCTCATTAGTTCCGTCTGTCTGACAAGGGGGATTGTGAATTTTATAATGGATCCCATTGGCTTGTCTCTATACGAACAGGGAGGGTTGTTCATTTTATTCTCCATCCTATTGGTAGCTAGAAGCCTGGGCTATTAGAATCAATCTTATTAGTTACTCCCTTTGTCACCATTAGCCACTGAGCACGGACGCTGCGCTTAGGCAAAGTCACCATCACGTGCATGGACCACCCATTGATGATCTGGTCACTGTCTACTCTTGAACACGGAATAATAAAATGTAGAGAAGGATAAAATACATTTTATAGATTGGAGTATATTTTATACTATCTAGTCAGGCGTCTGACTGTTTGCCTTTGCGTGTATCTCTGTGGTGGACTTATTATATATTTTATTCCTATTTTCCCCTGCCACGCCTGCGCGCTCGCGCGACCGCATCGAAGGACAGTACGATTTGTAAACCCGAACCCTGTATGCACTACCTCTTACCTCTCTCTCTCTCTCTGTCTCCCGATCTAGGAACTCTTAACGATCACAATTCAAACCTCTCAAGTGTAACAGTTCGGCTCAGATACCCGGGTCCGCTACTCTATTCGGGCACCCGGGTGCCTATGTATCAGCCGCCGGGGCCAGCGGACAGAATCCCCCGAAGATCAATACATCCACAAAGCTAAGGGTACGACGGAGAGAAATCCCGGATTCCGGATTCCGTCATGCCACACCCGAGGTGCGGGAAGTTCTGCTTATCCCCGCAACCCTCCTTGCCGACTGTCGACTCAGGACAGGGGCAATCTCAACCCATGACGGGCCCGGAACGCGCACTGACGTACAGCGCCTGCATCTAGCTGCGAACCCGACTTGTAGATGATTCTAATATCTACGAGTCTATAAAATACAATAGCAACATAGAACTACCAATACCATTCTTCATGAGACACTCGCAACAATGACGGACCTAATTGATACTCCCGTAATTATTATCGGCGGTGGTGGCTGCGGCCTCACCTCCTCAATCACGCTATCCAATCTCAATATCGAGCACATCTTGTTCGAGAAGCACCCAGGTACATCGCTCCTTCCCAAAGCCCATTATCTCAATCAACGTACTTTGGAGACGCTGCGCCATATGGGGATATCTGACGAAGTCACACGGATATCGTGCCCCCCTGAGCATATGTCTCGAGTCGAATTCAGATCATCCCTTGGTGGCGATGATGTGACTGATGGCCGCTTGCTTGGTTACAACTCAGCTTGGGGCAACGAAATTGGTGGTCCTGACTATGAGACATGGAGGTAAACTTTTGTACGCTGCTGCGATTGCGAAAAATGGCTGACTTGATCATTCCCCAGACGCGATTCGCCAGCCATCGCTACCAACCTCCCGCTCCTCAGGCTAGAGCCGATTTTCCGTCGTATTGCGGAAAAACGCAATCCTGGCCGCATCCTTTTCAACCACAAGGTGGCAGACTTCGAAGAGAAAGATGATCATGTCTTGGTTACTGTGGACCATCCCGATGGGAAATCCGTTACGTACCGTGCTCAGTACGTAGTTGCTGCCGACGGCGGAAAACTATCAACGCCAAAGCTCGGCATCAAAATGGAAGGGCCTACCAAGATGGTGGATTTTGTTACTACACATTTCAAAGCTGATTTGTCTAGGTACTGGGATGGTAAGTCTACTTCACTCCTGAAATATGCATTATTCTGTCTCACATTTAGACTACAGATCGCACTATATTTACTCATTTCATCAATCCAGAGGGCGAGAAAATGGCCAATTTTGATAGCGGTCTTCTTGTTCAGATGGGACCGACTTGGGGTCGCAAGTCGGAGGAGTGGGTTCTCCATTTCGGTTTCGCAGTCAGCGATGATACACGCTTTGACAAAGAGGCCTTGCCTCCCCGGATCCGTCAGCTTTTGAAGCTGCCCGATTTGGAGATGGAGATTCTGCAGATCAGCCATTGGCTTCTCGACCGTGTGCTTGCAGATAAGTATCGCAAAGGGCGAGTCTTTATTGCCGGAGATGCAGCTCATCGGCGCCCACCTACGACAGGCCTAGGACTCAACACGTCTATAGAAGACGGTCAAAACCTCGCTTGGAAGTTGGCGGCAGTTCTCAAGGGGAAAGCAAAACCCTCTCTTCTTGACACTTACGAATCTGAAAGACGCCCAGTAGCGAAGCGAAACTGTGACTGGGGTCTTTTCACCTTTAAGAACCTGCAAGTGGTGCAAGCTGCTGTGGGACTGGTACCTGGACAAACAGACTACAACCGTCAACGTTTCAACGACATCTTCGAGGATAGCCCCTTCGGCCACGCGCACCTGGCCCACATCCAACGAGTGCTTGATACGCAGGATATCGAGTTCAGGGCCCATGATGTAGAGTTAGGCTTCGTCTATGAGGAAGGCGCTCGTATCCCCGACGGCACAGACCCTCCTCCGCTTGACCCTACAGGTAGGACTTACACTCCAACATCTCGTCCTGGTCATCGATTGCCACATGCATGGATCGAAAAGGAAGGAAAGGCCATTTCGACACACGACTTGCTGGTCTTGGGCAAGCACGACTTCTTTTTGATCACCGATGAAGATGGGAGTGCTTGGGTTGAAGCAGCAGCGAAGATCTCCAAGACAACGGAATGGAAAATCGGCGCAGCAAAAGTCAGAGTGCGACCACACACCAAGGGCTCGGACTTCCACTACGACTGCCACAACCAGTGGATCAAGGTAAGGGGATTCAAAGACGGCGGCGCGATACTTGTTAGGCCCGATAACTTTGTAGCCTGGCGAAGCCGCTCTGTGTCTGCTAGTTCGGAGGACACACTGCGTAGTGTTTTGGCGGCCTTGTCGGGACTTGCTTCGTAGCTTGGCGCACAGCACAACGGTCGTTCGGCTCAGACTGCAACGGGAACGTAGTTAGGATCCAGCTCGGAATATGTCTTTTGAAATCTGCACTTTCTGTTTTCTGCCCCTTTAGAATTTCACCAGCGAGCGGCATGCGCGTACTACGAAGAGATGTGTTTGTGGGGATTCCCGGAGATGGGGCCCAAATAGATGAGAAGGCTTATTAAGCCTGCTTGGTCCGGCATTTCGTCTTTCCCCGCACTTTTCTTTCCCGCTCCCGTCCTTTCCCCACCGCCCGCTCTTCTTTCCCGCCCGTCCTTCCTTCCCGGCCTTCCGAAGTAATTTCCAAACCACCCTCCCTACACCAACTGACTGTATCGCAACATCCGAATGAGACTTCTTCCATATGACATTCCAGAGGCAGAGTCCACTCCGCACATCGTGTTAGCCGCCTATCTCGTGCTCGCCAAGGCCACGAGGCCGCGGACCGCCGTCTACTCTTGCCTCGGACCAACCTATCGCTGGGGAAGCTGTCTGCAGTCTGCAGTCTGCTTGCGCCAAGTCAACGCGACGCATCATCTTTCTCTGTGCTCCATGATAAGCCATGGCTTGCGAGTCCTGCCGCGTGAAAAAAACCAAGTGTTCGTGAACCTCTCATCAGTCCCCTGTTGGGCCATGCATCCTGACATGCTGCGATTCCCAGGCGACAAAGCGAAGCCTGCCTGCAGTCGATGTAGCGTAAGTTGGAAAACATGTACTCCTGCAAGCTTCTGTGGCACCAAATCGATGCTTCTAAGCTTACTCAATTGAACAGCTTCGGTCGATTCCATGCAAGTACGTTCGAGAGCGACAAAAGAGGCATCACCTGGATAGCGCCGGTGAGTTGATATGTCCTTTATTTAGCCATACACTCTTCACATTGTGGTCATGGTTGGGATGGTGGCTAAGCCGCATATAGAGGTGGCAGCAAGGCTGCACCGAATGGAAAATCTGATACAAGCCATCAACAACAATCCAGAGCCAAACGGGCAACACGCATCGGCCAGCCACTCTGCGAGCCAGAACAGAGATCCACAGAGGACACCAACATCTGCAAACTTATGCTTTGCTCCCAGCCCAATCAGCTCAGAACCGTGTACAGGAGAAGCTTTGCCGCGGGCCCAAGAGCTCAGCGTTGAGGATATGAATACGGAAATGAACACTGAGTCCCAACCGGCACTATTTGTCCCTGATATTTCCAATTCTGCTGCCCCTACGATCATCACGGCAAAACGTCGCAAGAGAATGAGACCTCAAGCCGACCTGTTAGACCAAATTCTTTCTAAAGATGGGCGGAGTGACAACGCCGACATCAATGCAGCTATATGGATTCGGACAACAGTAAGCTTAAATGATGTTTCGGCATAATCAAAAGTTTTGCTAACATACTTGTCACCCCCTTTCAGGCTGGTGACGAGTACATTGGTACTTCAGCCCTTCCTTTCTACCTTGGACCAATATCTTAACACTTATACCCTCGCTAGGTCCTTCTTCCGGTCTCTCTCTATTCTCAGAGCCGGGTGTACGTTGGCTACAGGACAAATTTGGTGCAAATCAAGAGTTGTGTGATAAGATCAAGGTTATTACTATCGACATTGGACATCATCTTCAACTTCTGAAATGCTTACCCTTGGCTTGGAGTCCCACTGATAGAGCAAGACCAAGAAAGCCTCTCCCAACTCAAGACGTGATATGGAAGTACGTTGATGGTGCGTATGACAACAGCAGCGTGCTCTCTGCTCTGAGCCCTCCCGCCACTTCTGCTTACGGTTCTCTCTGCAGGATATTTTGAAAAGGTCCAATGGTGAGTCTGAATTCATAATACTACCCACCTTGGCAGCACAATCTTAGTGTGGCTCAGGATGTATCCTATCTTGAACCGGTCTGCATTTGAGAGCCGTTTGGGGGGCTGGCTCGAGGCCCCCACCCATTGCGACGACGCGTGGTGCGCGCTCCTCAATGCTGTTTTAGCATTAGGCAGTCGAGCTATGCTCTCCGCCGGAACATCCACGGCATTCGAACATTCAGCGCAGGAGGGCTGGGACTACTTCAGAAATGCGGTTGATCTTGAAATGAACTTGGTACATGAAGGGACAAGCTTAACGGCTATACAGGTATGCCATCACTACACTCCTGACATCAGACCTAGACTAATGGCAGACATGGTCTCAGGCACTCGTCGCTATGGTACGCTACCTCTCTAAATACTAGCTCGTGGTTTGTCTGTTGCTCACAGACTAGCAGACTGTATATGGACAGGGCCTTTCAAGTCCCCAACGGGTTGAGTATTCTTACTGCTCGATAGCTGCACGAATGGCCCAAACATTGGGTCTAAATAGGCAACCATTGGCAGCTTGGAAACTCTCCGATGAAGAAATCGAGGAGCGCAACCGCCTCTTTTGGACAATATACATACTGGATAAAACCATTGCACTTCGATCTGGACGAACCGCCGTAAGCAATCTTTCATCTACTGCTGTTAACTTTTCTAGCTTTACTTACAATCTTATAGGCCATAGATGATGATGAAATCAGCTGCGCCTTTCCTCGGGGCTTTGCTGTTATACAGCGTAAACAACCCGAATTGCTACATGGTGACGACCAACACTATGAAGACAATCGGTTTGACTTTTTCCTGGCCCTCGCTCGTTTTGCTAGAATTGCCGGAAGGATTTCGAAGAGGCTCTATTCTGCCAGAGCTTTAAGCGCGCCATCTTATGAGCTGTCGTATGTCGCAGCAGAGCTTACAGCTGAGATGATCAGATGGCGAGACGATATTCCAACAAGCTTCAGACCTGGACATTGGTTTGCTCCAGCTGAACTGCCCCGGCACGTCTCGTTACTTCAAGCTTTGGTAGTCAACTTCGGCTATAACTACGCTATATGCGCCATTTCACGGCGCTTCAGCGGCATATTTGTTCACATGGAAGCAGAATTCCCTGTGACAAATGCGGGCAAGGTCCGCGCGGTGACAGCTACAATGTGCCTTGAAGCGGCAAGATCGATGATATTACTTACAAAACATCTTGATGTGGAAAGCCATACACCTAGCTGGTAGGCAACGAATGAACTGCCCCGATTTCTTCCCACCCTGACTAAGACATCCAGGCTCCTGTTCTATTACCCAATGACTGCACTAACGACTATTTTTGTTCACGTCGTCGGCGACCCCCAATCAGACTCAGCAGGCAATGACGTTGCTTTAATGGAAGCAGCTGTTGGACACTTCGGACGGTTGGAATTTTTAACTGCCGGTGGAACTGCATTCACGAAGATTGGGGAACTCGTTCGTTTAGCCAGGAGCGTTGTGGAGGCTGCACAGAGTTCGGATGAGAGTCAAACTACAGATGATCGCGAAAGGACCGCTCAACTTACGACTTCACCACAGGAGGATTATGAGGCAGAAGACGTACCGATTTTAGATCGAACCGCGGATGAGACGATGAATATTTCTCAGAGTACAGATCTTCAAGCCCCGAACATCGGCCAAGGTATGTCTTCTTCCATGGGCATTTAAAGTCTATTTATCATTGATACTGATTGGCTTGAAACAGACTACCTATCGTCCAGGTTGTTTTCCGAGATCACTACGATGGCAGACAACATTATGCAGCCTGCAATCGCTCCTAATAATACGAACAGCCATTTTATGCCGGACACACTGATAGCTACGACGACATCTGATGTGGATCTAGAATGGCTGGAATGGCAAGTCAGGAGTCAGCAGCATCTGGATCAGGATTGGTCTCAGCCGGATGTAGAAGCTCTGGTGGAAGAGATGCACCAAAATTTTGCTACATCTTCTTAAAACGTTGAGGCATTTATGCTCTATTACTATTGGAATCGAGAAGAAAAGTCAGTGTTGTTTGTTAGTCACAGGTTTCATACTTACGCAATTTCTCCGCTCTCCCATTTTATATTTCGCACAGAGCACCAATAAGTGGGATCAGTGACTGGTTGTTTGAGGTTAGAAGATGGTCGGAAAATCACCATAGAAGCAAGCATCACGTAGAATTCAATGGCTTAGAACGGACATGAACAACGGCAAGATCCGCTTGACCAAAAGAGACCTGCTAAATAATCTCCCCAACAATCAGTGAGTAGTGACGCCTACAGTCAGGAGAATATTGATGCTAACAATTTCCAAAGCCTCGCAGACAGCAACACCGCCGGAATTTCCTTGCGTGCAACATTCTAGTGTCTAACTAAAACTACTCGGACAACGAAGAAGCTCGGCATAGAGATTTATCAAGCCGACATCGACAGAAAGATGTCGCCACTAATCAAATATGCAGAGAGCCTTCAATCACTGTACTTGTGTCTGTGAAACGTTGCGAAAAGACACCATTCTTCGTACGAATGCATGGGAACGGACATTGAGACCCACCCGCTTACAAAATTGTCACAGACAAGCAGTGGTGAAAGAAGCGATACGACGCCACCCGGAAGTTTCATATACTTTGGAACGAGTTGTTCCCCAAGAGCGTGAAGCGCAATGCGGCATGATGCTCCGTGAGGCACTATATTAGGGGTCAATAAATATATAATCTAGCGGAATCAAAACATATATGGCATAGATGCCAAGGCCTTCCGTCCAGAATGCTAGATTGAGTCAGACCAAAAGCAACTGATGGTTATAGAGAAGAACATGCTAGTGGTACGTTACAAGCCTTTCTCCGAACACGTCTCCATTATGCTATCAAGGAAGATCCCGTCAAACTGTGTTGTATAGCCATCTTTCTGCCCAGGAACAGGCTAATAAGAATCACAGTTTGGCTTTGGTATAAGGACTTGCATAGGTGAGTTATGTCGTCAAAGCAGGCTTTCCAAGCTACAGATGAGCTTTTCTAGGCAATAACATCTCGATCATGTAAATGGGCCAGGGTTTTCTATGAGTATTGCACGATTTCAACCATCAGTGGGCATTAGAATGCTCAATGTGGAATGTGAACATACTGGTTTGCTCGGCAAACAGGTGTTAAAGTGCGCTTCAGTCTACGGAGGGTCAGGGGGCTACTGCCTGCTCTTTGAGAGCAGAGCTGTTCATAGCAATCATATTCGCTTGATTAAGGAGAAGAGACTGCTGCTCTAGCTTGCTAGGAATAGGAGAACTAAATCAATCGATGAGGTCAGATTCCTCAAGGAGTACAGGACGATACAAGGTCAGGCCCCTGGCTCGAAGAGCTGCCAGCTTAGGTGCTGCGCATCTGGGTGTCGATGGAGAAGTCATAGGCAGGGAAAGTTTAGGTTGGAAAAGTTAGACTAGGCGCAAAAGGTAGATGGGTCAATCAGGTACGATGAAAAGCTTGATAAAAAGAAAGGAAATTTAACTCAACGAGCCTCGATATGCAAGATTCAATGCATGATAACATAGTAGATTCAATACACTTTGAGGGATGAAGTTTAATGAATAAATTGTCTTTAGGCTTAAATATCTCGAAATCTGTGAAGGCTCTGAATATGTTGAAGTTCTAACGCTGGAATTCACCAATCTGAGCCATCTGCGTTGTATCCTGAAGAACGTTCTCGACACTGGTAGTGAATCTCGCACTTCCACTTGATGTTGAAGCCTTAGACACCGTGGTATTTGTAGAGCCCGTTTCTTTACCCACGGCAACAAGCAAGATATATTTGATGCTTTCTTTTGTCGCTGTATTGGCGTCTTGGGACGAGGACCGCCACGCAACGTGGCCGTCCGGGCGGACAAGTACAACATCTCGTTCCCAGATCCTCCGGACCTGAGGTTCGTCTGGAAGACGGACAGCTCTGAGTGGAATCCCTAGCTCTTTTGCGACATCAGAGAAGCTTTTGGCTGTCTCGCCACCAGTGGTGAAGTCAACAAGGGTATAATGAAGACCGTATAGATCCGTGATACTTGTGACAGAATCCTTGAGAAAAACGTGTGGAGCGCGGCTGCCCGGCCATGTCGAAGGGACGTACTCGCGGGGAGTCCAAATAGGCTCGATACCATATTCGTCGTGATTGATAACAGGCGAATCGTTGAGTCGATATCCTATCTCGATGCCATGGTCCTTGTTCTCTCCATCCTGTGCTAGAATCATTTGCTCGATCTCTTCTCGGAGCTTCTCTCCCTCCGCATCTTGTGCTAGCAGTACTTTACTGCCCTTCTGTTTTACCATTTGTGCATATTTGAAATGGAGCGACATGTGCACGCCAGATCTCTCCACGTTTCGAAGAGCGACAGGACGGCGTTCAGTTCCATAAGATTGAAGAAGAGTTTCGCCAGCATAACCTCTCAGGTACGCTCCTAATTTCCATCCAATATCATACGCATCTCCAACACCCATGTTCATACCATATCCGCCGGTAGGAATATTCTGGTGAGCTACGTATGTCAATGAATGAAAGATCGGGTGAAAAGAGAGACTGGAAAGCGAATCTCGTTAAATTTGACATGGAAAGTAACGTACCAGAATCCCCTGCAAGGAAGACGCGCTGATGAGGACTTATATACTCATTTGCGACGACCAAGTTCGGCCGGAATACACTTGTGACGAGAATCTTATCGACTTCGATCGGGTATCTCCCGGCACTGCCACCTAAAACTGCGTAAATGACCTCGGTGGGGTCGAGTTTAGTTGTATCTTGGTCCAAGGATACAGGGTAATGGCAGGTCCAAGTGTCAATTTCATCTTGACTGATGATGGCAGCTCCAGTGGTGAAGAAGATGTGCCAAAATTGGCCTTGAGCTTGCAAGCGCGCCAAGTCTCTCGACTTGAAATGCACGAGAAAGACAGCACTTGGACTATGTGCAAAAGTTAGCTGCTGGAGGAGTGGGCTTACTCACGCTGTATTCACTTACGTCGGACCTCCAATCAAGCCTAAGCCGATAGATCTTCTAACGCGGCTTCCTGCGCCATCACAAGCCACCACGAACTTGGCGTGCACGGTATGTGTCTGCCCAGTGGATAGCTCGGTGATTTGACTAATCACCTTTTCGGGCGTCTCCTCTAGACTTTCAAACTTCCAGCCAAAATATGACTCGATGAGTGGATTTTCCTCGCAAAGGGGCTTGAGCCAGCGCTCGAAAACCGATTGTGAGCATCGCTGGTATGGCTCTCGTGGCATAGAACCATCGTTTTGCTCTTGGATGCGTTTCTTCCATTCGGCCGGAGATGGTAAATCCTAGATGAAATGAGCACCGACACCAACCACGGCAGAAAAGCATGGCTGATTCTTACCCAGCGGGCGAGTCTCTTTCCCCCTTCGCTCAAACCGCTGCTGAACAAGACGTTGAACGAGTATTTTTCGTCGACACCTACGGCGGCTGTTAGAATCATAACATAAAGGCCCACAGACCCACGATTTTCATACCTATCCTCCTCAAAGCGTCGGCAAGGCCCAAGGTCCGCAACAGTTCCATAGAGCGGCAATTTGTGATGTCCATCTTGGGCCATTTCGTAGTCTCATAGTTGCGCTCGACAAGCATGCATTTCTGGCCATACCGGGCGAGCTGCAACGACGTGATGAGACCGACAGGACCAGAACCAACCACCAACACTGGAGTCTCGTGGACGATGGGAGTGGATGATGCCATTGTGGTTGTAATGCTGGATTCACTGTACTCGTACGTGATAGAGAGGTAGCACGTCTAAACCCCGCGTTATATCTATCGGTGCAACAGGGAGTTAATTGAAAAGAAGAAAGTGCGTAACGCTTAGGATACAGAGGGCGGGCTATTGTCGAGCTGTTCTGCGTGCTACGGCTCCGAAGGTGACTGGACATCGTCTTTCTGGAATGGCTCCTGGTAAAACACTACGTAGTATGACTCATAGCTCCGCACCTTGGCCGGGCCACACAGTGGAACATGGGTTCCAGGGTTTCAAGGGCGGACTGGGAAGCCTAACTCCGGCACCCGTACGAATCCCCTTGAGTGTGCGGAGGATCGGACGCGGTATAAGCCCTATATCACCCCGGCATAGGGTTGTCGATACTTCGATTACCGCCTAGTTTGGCCCCTAACACAAGGCATCGATACATAGTACGGGCACAAGGGTTGGAAAGGTGCATTGTCTACCCGCCCCACTGTACAAGTACGAATGACCGTACTCATCTTGTGCAGCGTTAGCCGTATCTCTACATGTATGCACCTCGTGCATGATGTACGCACTAACAGCTGCACGCTGAACAACAAATAGGAGCTGTTTCTCAGCATCACGGATCCTATCAGAGCATCTCGATGGAGACATTATGGAAATTAAACTTTCCAACCCTTGTGGCCTGTAGTGAGACCATCTGGCGCATGAAGCAGCTCGGTGTGGGGCCGGGCATGGAGTTGCAAATGCCGGCAGGGGCCGGACTATTGCTAGGACTGGTTGTGCTATACAACCGGGCTTAAGTAAGTTGACCGAATGAAGACGATGTTAGCGATTTGCTGCCCGGTTGAAAATTAAACGAAGCCCTTTAAGAACGATGAGAGCGATGCGAGAATAGGAATGATGCGCATGTGGCGTCCGGTCAAAGCCATGATTAACTCCGATCAAGTGCACTGTCTGTCACGGTTTCGGCTTGCCGGAAGCCGCCGTCATGGTAAAAGGTCTGGGAGAGACCGGACCGGATTCTACGGCTCCTAATGCGTTGTCCACAGAAGCGAAGCCAGTCGCCAAATGAACTCGAGAGCAGTAACGATGCCGGGGCCGGGAATCCGAGAATCCGGGCATCAAGGCTGGGCGGGCTAAGAATCCCGAAGCCGGATGCTGAATAATAGCGTGCCCTAATGAGCCTAGCACTGTACTGCCCCACTAACCTATTCATCATAGCGCCAGAAGGCCTAGACCTATGGGTACTCTTTATCCTCTTACCCGGCAGGCTGAAAAAAGGGATTGGAAATTGGAATCGCTCAAGCTTGAAAGGGAAAATCGTAAATATCTGCAAACAGATCAAAAGCTTGCACTTTAAAGACTTAGAAAATGACGTCTCAAAGAAAGAAGCTACTGCGACAGCTTGGTCTGTCAATTCAAGAGGTAAAAATGAGTGTAGGCAAAACCAGGCATATCAATTCAATAAAGGAAAAAAAGGATGCTCCTCTAGCTAGACTGGGCAGGCGGCCGCTTCAAGTAGGCAGCCCAGTTGGCTGTTGACCCTACAGTCAATATACCCTAGAAGTCCAATTCCATCAACATACTATTCTATCCTGTCGCGCTTGGTGCTGAGAATGGTTGAGCGCCGGGTTTGTCCACCACGTCCTGAACTTTACCTGTGAGAAAGGCAAGCGGTATATTTGGTCCCCATACGAACAGACTTTCTGGTGCAGCAGGTTCTCGGGATAGAGGGGTGTGGCAATTGACGAGATCGCCATCGGAATAGTGTTCTATAACATTTCCCGTAGCATCAAACCTGCATAAAGTATTGGTATCAGGTACCCGCCACTCTTTCAAATGAGAGATTGGAACGCATGCAAGACTCGAGACTTGAAAACTCACCAGTAGTCAAATATCTGGCTTCCTAATAAGTGACGGCCCACCCCCCAGCAGTTCTTCCAGCCGTTTTTCTCCAGCCAGTCGTGGCCGAATTGCTGCGTATCGAAATTGTTGCATTCAAAGCTAGAATGGTGGATATGACTGGGCTTGTCCTCTGTATGGGTGACGAAGAATATGCTCTAAGACAATTAGTCACGCACAACCATGCTAGGCATCTAGGTATTTGGGGGCGTTCTGGACTTACATGGTGATCAACAAATTCTGCTCCTTTATCAATGTGCAAGAAAGAGGTGATATCTTCATTCGTAGAAGTGTCAAAAACCGAGTCAGTCACCTTGAGATTGAAAGTTGTCGTATACCAGTTCCTGACTTTCATAAAATGCGGAAGGTGTACAGAGAAGCCATAATGACCCAGCTTATAGACCTCACTGGGTCCGGGCTTGAGCCGGACGAACTCTCCTTTCCGCGGCTTTGTTGAAGAGGCGTTCATGATCACAGCCCCATAGGTTTCAGCGCTCCTCAGAGTTTGTCCAAAGACAAGCCGGACAACCATATCGTTGGGATCTCGAAGAGTGACGTATTTGCCTCCTCCCGGTGCATCCATATCCTGGATGCGTGACGCGTTGTGATATGAAACGGTCTTTTCCAACTCAGCCATGGATTGCACAACCCAGGTGCCTCCTAGGAACGCCCGTTTCCCTTTTGTGGCAATGTAAATGACGGGTTCTGGCCCATAGCCGCGGAAAAAGATGCGGTCAGGTTCTTCCTTCTCAACGAGAAGACCAAAATCAAGAAGAAAACGTTTTGCCTCGTTGAGATCCGGGTGCTGATAGCAGACATGGGCTAGCCTGTCTAGCAGGATTGGTGGTGGTGCAGTCATGGCTGGAGGCAGCTGAAGTTTGGCGCAGACGTTGAGAGACTAATTCAAATCGAGGACCCAGGACGACTTTGTCACGAACAATGAAGATATAATTCTGCCCTTTCTATGATGGCTGTTTATTGCCGTAAGCCAAGTTCTCCTGGTGGGCTCCGAACATGCCGCAGCCGCACAGAGTCGTACGTGCTTCGGAGTTCGGATTTTGTATCCGGCTTCGGGGTACGGATTTTTTATCTGGTATTTGTGGGTAACTACGGGGCCCACGAGTACAACCCGCGAGAGCCTTCCTTCCTGGCTCTCTTGCATATGCACGCCTCTCCATTTAAACGTTTTTTTCTTCTTAAATATGTGCAAAGTGAATCACATTCTTTTGACCATCTTCACTTTTTTCTACAACCTATTATTACACGGTTGTCAACATGCCCTTCCAACGTTTGATTCGGTTTGAAGACGAAAATGGGGAAGTCTGCCTTGGCAATCTCAGCGAAGAAATCCACACCCAGAAGATAGAAGGGTCCAAAGTCCATTTGCTGCACGATGATGGTGCCAATTCCTATTCAGTCGGGCACGAAACAAGAACTGTCAAGAAGGTACGCTGGTGCTTGATATCGCTAATATCGCTCACCCCTCTACTCTCAAGTCATGCTGACACAAGCACCATTATAGCTATTGTCTCCTCTAGCAGCGACGCCACTTGTCATTTGTGTTGGACTGAATTATCATGCGCATGCTACAGAAGCGTCTGTAAGTATAATATTTTAGAAGATCAGTTCCGCATCAGACTATCACGCCAGGTTCTGATTCTTTGCATCTAGCTTACGATTCCTAAATATCCTGTTATTTTCACCAAACCTGCCGATGCGCTAGCCGGGCCTTTCGATAGCATTTCCGTTCATCCCGACGCTCAAGTCATGCTTGACTATGAGGGCGAACTGACAGTAGTGATCGGACGAGATGCAAAGAACGTATCGGAGGAGAAGGCGCTGAACTACGTGCTGGGCTATACGGCTGGGAATGATGTCTCGGCTCGCAATTTTCAGACTCCTGACGTCTCAGGTGGTCAGTTTTGCTATGCAAAGTCCTTCGACAAGTTTGCACCTATTGGGCCGGCTATAGTCTCAACGTCGATTATTCCGGATCCTGCGAAGCTCGAATATACAACCAAGGTGAACGGCGAGCTTCGCCAAAAGACAAAAACGTCGGATTTAATCTGGAGTGTGAGACAGCTTATAGCACATCTCAGTCGGGGGACAACACTGAGGAAAGGGACTCTGATTATGACTGGGACACCTTCTGGTGTGGGATTCTTCATGAACCCCAAAGGTTTTCTTAAAAACGGGGATGTGGTTGAGATTGAAATCTCTCAGATAGGGCTTATTGCCAACAAGTTTGAGTTTTAAGTAGGCAGAAAGAATTGGGACAGACTTAAATGCGATTGCCATATAAGCAGCTCCAGCTACTATGCCCACCCTTTCACTCTCGCGACATCTCATCCTTACGAATAATTGTCTGGTCATGTCCTTGACCTTGAGTCTCTTCGTCTTGGCGCCGTGGGGGTTTGTGCTCTACGATACGTGCCTAGCTGTTTACTGCGCCAGCCTATCACCGCTCGCGAAAGTGCCCGGATTAAGGCTTACAGCGTTAACGTACTGACACGAGTGCTATTATGATATCTCCTCGAGAGGTGTCATTTTCTGATCCCTCTTTTGTGGATGTGATGTAAGCTCCTGGTCGCGGAAGTCGACGTGATAAAGACCTGGGTAGCGTCAGCGCTCTTGGAACCGCCGAGAGGCTTGGGGGGGCGATCAAGCATAACCTTCATAAGCGCTGCCAAGAACCATTGACTGCGTTTTTCTCCCGCCCGTCCGTTGGATGATGTATTTGCTGAGGCTGCTAGTTGTGGCGAGACTCTGAATATATTAGATATATTTATTAAAGCCTGGGTTAGGACCAGGCAGTTATAACTAGTAAAATTATAACTACTAGTAACAAGTCTAATATAACTTAACGTGCGTGATAAGCGAGTGGCTCAGACAAGTGAGTGGCTCACTTTAAAATCCCATACAAAAACGCCGTTTTTAACCCTCTTGCAAAAACCATCAATGTTTAGTAAATCCTAAATAAATATTAGTTATATATTTACTGTAGCATAGTAATACATTAGAACTTTTCTTAGATTTTACAAGTTTTTATTTGAGAAGTTACTCTAGAACTTCAGTATAAGGTATTCTTATAAACGAAAATTTAAAATAACTCATGTTAGATACGTGTTGGATCCGGTACGGGTAGGATGATCAGAGCCTTCAAACGGGGTCAACTGTGGAGACCAAAGATGATTGTATTGATGATTATGCCTGTAGGAACTAGGATCCTCTCTGCCCACTCTGTCCGGTAAGGGGTTTTTAGGTCAATCTCACCCCCCTTATGACTAAGACATGATATTGGTGTATCAGGGACCGTCCTTATCCGGGCCCCTAGTCCGGCACCCGAGGGTCAGTCCAACAATACGCAATTTGCTATATGCAATAGCTGTCACGATGTGTATTTGGGTAGCTGGGCGTGTATATGGTGTGTGACTGCTATAGCTATATCCTTCTAGCTGGTTTCAGTATAAGGATGTGTTGGATGATGACTCTGTATGACGAAACCTCGGATAGATCGATATCCTGACCTTAGTTAGAAGGGGGGGTATAATAACCCCTCTTCCAGCCGATCCGGATGACCGGCACAAGTAATCATCAACATCATCATCACTGTATTAATCCCTATCTATCAGATTGAATTGACCGTAACGGATCCATCAGGATGTATAGGGACTCAGAGCGGGGATTATATGCAACTCAGAATATACATACACCCAATCAGACGCCTCACAGAATTAGGGCTCGTGACAATAGTAGAAGTAATTAATCAAGTAATGTAAATTGAAAAGTTGTTCCTTTTCCCTTAGGGGTTTAGAGCAGGCTTTTTATGCCTTTTGATGGATCCGTTACGGTCAATTCAATTTAATAGATAGGGATTAATACAGTGATGATGATGTTGATGATTACTTATGCCGGTTATCTAGATCGGCTAGAAGAGGGGTTATTATACCCCCCCTTCTAATTAAGATTAGAATATCAATCTATCTAAGGTTTCGTTATATACAGTCATCATCCAACACACCCCCCCAGCTTCAGCTGGATTAGCTGAAGCTGCTATAATTATATCTCTAGATCTTCTTCCTTAATCTCTTTCAGCTTCCTTTACTCTAGCCGGTTTGAGATATTAACTAAACCTAGCTGCTAGACTGATCTTTAAAAGGCTGGGCTATTTAGGACCTTAGTAAGACTATTAGCAATTATTTTCTTTATGCTAATATAATCTACCTAGATTTTATTTCTTTAAGCTTCCTGTCTTAATTAATAATTATAAATATTAATATACTGCAGTTTAATTTACAGCTTATTAATCTTTTAGTAGATAAGCTGGATTATCTAATAGTTATTATATTAAATGTGGATTTTTTCTTCTTCTAGCTAAATCCCTAGCTTTTTAACTAGCTAGGAGATAAATATAGCCTCCCTAGCTACTTAAGATAGAGCTAGTAATTTGGCTTTAGTTATTAATGTTGTAATTATATTCTACTTATTAGCTTTCTATTTAATT